TGATTCTTAGAAGGTCCCATTCATCTATTTTTTCTTCTCCTGGTTGTAGAAGTCTCTGTAAATTTTTACTGAAAGTAATAATAAATTTAAATTAAAAAATGAAAAAAAAAGAACAGTGCTACGCCATCATAGAAAATAATATGAATTAGAATCAACTTGACAGGCTTTCACTGACAAAAGTCATTAATGAGGAGTCCTCGGGTGTGACACACAGTTATTAGCACTCCACTATGAGCTCCAAAACATCAGCATTTCAAACCCACCCAGAGATGCTTTAAAGGGTGGTCTTCAGGATCTGCCTCCAAAACACATGAGGTTGCAATGAGTCAGGACTGAGTTGATGGTAACTCACTATACCAGTCTTTAAGATGGAAAACAGTGCTGACAAATGCAGGAAGGGAGACTACTTGTACTTTAATGATTTTGTATATTGAATTTGGAGATGCCCATTTAAAAAAATTAACAATATTATGAATAATTCATGAGGAAAATCCTTTTCAGAAAGATAGATGTAACTACTTTTAAGATTCTCTCTAGCACACCCATGTTTATGGCAGCTTTGTTCACAATAGCAAGGAGTTGAAACAACGTAAGTGCCCATCAAAAAATGAATGGGTAGAGAAACTGTGGTATATTCACACAATGGAATATGATGCTGCATTGAAAAACAAGGAACTCATGAAATATTATTCAGAATGGTTGACTCTGGAGGACATTATGCTGAGTGAAGTATCTCAGTCACAAAAGGACAAATACTGCATGGTGCCACTGTTGTAAAACAGGACTGACCTTGGGGTTGGGGAGGACTGAGAAAGATGGGTTCAATAAAGCATACTGCATTGAAACAGATGAGGGGGGAAAAACTGTTTAAAAGGGATATGTGATTAGGTATTTTTGTCATGACAGGAGTCCTGAATGAAGGCTGCATAGTGGAGTGGAACTGGGGGGAGGGATTGTAAAACAATGAAAGAATTTTTCTTTTACTTTTCCAAGAGGGTAGTGTACTGGGGAGGGGGTCGGGAGGGGAGAAAAGTGCAACAACAAATGAATGAATGGAAATCTAAAGTCTCTGTAAATTTTCATTAAAATTAATAATAAAGAAAAAAAAAGATTCTCTCTAATGTACATTTAAAAAGACATGATAAAAGGTGTGAAGAGGCCAGACTGTCACTTTTTCCC